GTGTGCGTGTGCGTGTGCGTGTGCGTGTGCGTGCGCGTGTGTGTATTTGTGAATGTCTTTGTGTGTTCTTATATGGGTGTAAGTCGTTAAGTGTGTCTATACTTTTGGGTGTGAACGCGCATTGTGTGCACGCGCGCTAGGCAAACAGTAAGGTACACGAGAAAAACGAAATAAAAAGGCCAGTGATGAGCTGATGTAGATTAGATTTGTTTTTAATTTTAATGAAGATTTTCGGCAGTTGTGAAAAAAGTAGGTCACATAAGTGCCAGAGATTAGAGAAATAACGTACGAAGAAAATAATGAGGACAGAATATTAGACAATGCCAATGACAATCTTTATTCATCTGGAAGGGAGAATTTTATCTTGGTCGTTTACAAGGGCAGTAGACGCTACAAAGGTTAGGTGCACTCACTCACACGCACAACAAGACAGAACATTAGTAAATACATGTCTCATATGCCTTCTCTCTCTCTCTCTCTCTCTCTCTCTCTCTCTCTCTCTCTCTCTCTCTCTCTCTCTCTCTGTGTTTCATTTGTAACATTGTGTGTTCAGTAACCTCACATCAGTTGATACGAATGAAATTCTATATCTTTCTGTTTTTGCTTTTTTGGAAATGTATCGTTTACTGCGGGTAGATAATTGAAATTTCGATATCAGTGAGTGGCTATGGTTACTTAGCATTACTTCCGTATTTTTTAAAACGTCAAAGCTGCTTTACCCCCGGGGCGGTGCTACTGATTGAAGTGTCGTTAGGCCATTCCCGAGAGGGGGAGGGGGGGGGGGGCGCACATAATATCTAGAGTTCTTATGCACAGTAGAATTGTAATTGTAAAAGAGCTGATTAATCAATGTCATGCTCATAACTGTGCCAGAACTGCAACAGGGAACTGCTGCTTTTTCTTTCCTAATCCTTACAATCGTCATTTTTCTCTACTTCTTTTGTATGTTTGTCACACTCATGCAAACCGCTATTTCCGGGGTGCCTTGATAGTCGAAGCAAACTTTGTGCTGTCGAAGCTAGAGAGGTTAGCAGAGTAAGTCTGATTCCCTGTAAGGACCACCACTTCTGAGACAGATCTCCAACGAGGACTTATTATGTCTCTATTTTGAAGGGTAAGATATTGCTTTTTTAAAATGTTTTCAGTGAACGTCAGTCGGACTCAACCCCCTCTGTAAATGCGCAAGATGGCGCAAGAAGTCCACGGCGGACCAGAGATCAACAGCCCTCCCTCAGTGATAATTTACCACCTGACTTGGAACCAGACCGTTCAACCAGACAAGAGATTTTAACAATACGCACTGAAAGGGCGTTATACAAATTACGCAAGGATCAAGCAAATCGGCTACAAGCACACAGGGAGCTGCCGGACTCTACCCCCTCTGTAAATACGCAACGTGACCTGACATGGGAATTATTAAACATGTTTAGATTGTACTCTTCAGAATCCCGCCAGCAACAGAGGCAGCAGCTACAGAGGCAGCAGCTACAGAGGCAGCAGCCACAACAGCAACAGCCACTACAGCAACAGCCACTACAGCAACAGCCACAACAGCAACAGCCACTACAGCAACAGCCACTACAGCAACAGCCACAACAGCAACAGCCACTACAGCAGCAGCCACTACAGCCACTACAGCAACAGCCACTACAGCAGCAGCCACTACAGCCACTACAGCAGCAGCCACTACAGCCACTACAGCAGCAGCCACTGCAACCACTGTACCAACAGCCACTACAGCAACAGCCACTGTACCAACAGCCACTGCACCAACAGCCACTTCAGCAGCAGTCATTGCAGCAGCAGCAAGTGAATCAAACACAGCAGGAACAAGCACAACAGTTACAAGAGCACGCCTTTAGGCTACAAGAACAAATTTTTTGGCTACAAGAACAAGTACTTAGACTACAACAAGATGCACGCATGCTACAAGTAGACGGGGAACGAGCACATCAACAAGAACTGCTTCAGCGACAATCGCAACCAGCATATCAACTGCTACCACAAGTACCAAGTTACCTACAAGCACTTCAGCTACAACCACCTCGTATAATAATGTACGGGCAAGCACCACAGCTACAACAAGCATATCAAGCAATGCCCATGAATAGCATGCAAACCTGCTACATGAACACAATCCCATCAGCTACTACAAGCACATCAGCTACTACAAGCACATCAGCTACAGCTACTACAATCACATCAGCTACTACAAGCACATCAGCTACAGCTACTACAATCCCATCAGCTACTACAAGCACATCAGCTACAGCTACTACAATCACATCAGCTACTACAAGCACATCAGCTACAGCTACTACAATCACATCAGCTACTACAAGCACATCAGCTACATGAACACAATCACATCAGCTACTACAAGCACATCAGCTACAGCTACTACAATCACATCAGCTACTACAAGCACATCAGCTACAGCTACTACAATCACATCAGCTACTATGCGCACATCAGCTACAGCTACTACAAGCACATCAGCAACTACAAAAAGCACATCAGCTACAGTTACCAAAATCACACCAGCAGCTACAAAAAGCACATCAGCAGTTACTAAAAGCACACCAGCTACTAAAAGCACACCAGCTACTAAAAGTACATCAGCTACTAAAGGCACATCAGCTACTAAAGGCACATCAGCTACAAAAGGCACACCAGCTACAAAAGGCACATCATCAGCTACAAAAAGCACATCAGCAGCTACTACAAGCACATCAGCTACTACAAGTACATCAGCTACTACAAGCACATCAGCAACTACAAGCACATCAGTTGCAAGAACATCAGATGCAAGCACATCAGATACAAGCACGAGGAGCAATCACAAAATCAACGAGCACATCAGCTAATATACGAGCAAGCGCAACAGCAACAAGTATAATATCAACTACTAATGCTCATGAGGAGCACTCAAACCAGCGACTCACATTCGAGGAACTCGCACAACAGCGTCTAACATACGAGGAACTCGCACAACAGCGACTAACACACAAGAAACTAGCACAACAGCGACTAACATACGAGGAACCTCCACATGAGGAACAACCATACCAGCTTGCAGCCTATCAGCAACAGGCAAACCACGAAAATATGCTGCAGACTGTGCACCAACTCTTATCACATGCAGCGACACCAGCATGGATCTTCACCATCTTTGGCAGTGGAGCAGCAGCTACAACGCCTGGCTTACAACAACAACAACAACAACAACAACAACAACAACAACAAAAGCAGCAGCATCAACAACGACAGCCCCTCGAACCTCAGCAGCAGACAGAGAGCGAATCACAAGATTGCCAAAGGCATACAACCGTCTTATGGGAACTGCTTACACACGGAACATGTGAACAACTACCACGAGGACAAAACCGAAATCAACGAGGGAAAAAAGCTACAGCTACCAGCATCTGAGGAACAAACACACCATGACCCGGCACACCAGTCACAAGCACGTATAAGCTACAATTTAAGCACAACAGATACAATCGAAAAAACAAACAAACCGGCAGCAGACTGTGAACCGAATACGTCGACTGCAGCTTGACCGCATAAATCATCGTCATCTTTGCCAGTGGAACTGCAGCCACAACACCCAGAGCTACAACAACAACAACAACAACAACAACAACAACAACAACGACCACGACAACAAGAGCTACAACAGCAACAGCCTCTCAAACCCCCCCGCCCCAGTCACCCACCCCCTTCCACCCCCTTCAGCCACAACGCTTGTTGCCCCCTACCCCTCTTCCTCCTCCACCCACCACCCTTCTTCCCCCCCTCTCCCCCCCCCTCCTCCAATCCAACCTCCAGGAGAATCTTCCATTCAAAGACATGACGCCACACCCCAGGAGTATGCACGACTCAACATCCGGACATCTCAGACTTTGACCTGCAGCCGAGACCAATTTTGCCCACACGGACCTCTACCCACATACGGGTTGCCCATTGCGGATGGGATCTGGTCGGGTTGCGTATGGGGCGATCGTTCCACTCGTCGCCTGAAAACAAACACGTTTGTTTTTTGGGCGACGAGTCGGGCGCGATCGGTTTGTGCAACGATAGCCGCTTTGCGCCCTCAACCTGGCTAGCAAACCGCCCCAACCAGACCTGATCCCCCAATGAGCCCCCGGTATTAGGCGAGCCATCTACCAGACAACAGGACGAAGAGTCAGACGAAGGCGCCGCCTCTACGCCCCAGGGCCAGAAGGAAGACCGCGACATCCTTCCCAACATCAGATTTCGCACATTCTGCACTACAAGTTTAAAGAAATAGCTTTATGGCATTAAGATTTTTAAAGAACCATTGAACATTTGTATATAGTTTATGTTCTGAAGTATTTCATTGTTTGTTTTTTTTTGGCCCCCATTCTAACATATATGTCACGCGACAGACATTTTAATAACTTGCAGAACAATCGTAGTCTTCACATCTCTGTCTATATCATCGTGTCAAATTTTGCCAATAATTGATGTCCACTGGGACTTCGTTCAAGCCGGTTACGAGATACCCAATGTTCCATCTTTCTAGGCCGGAAATCTTATCCGATTATAGACGGCGTGGCTGTCTCTCAACAGGGGGACCCTCGAGGGAAACTGGTCGGTCAAGGCTACAGGACTTTGTGCGCCAGGGAGCTAACAGTCGGGGGGGGGGGGGGGGGGGTCGCTAAGTTACTATTCAACTGATCTTCTTGAAACCCCGAGGACTCATTTGATACCCTGTTGGTGTTCACTTCACCGCGGTCTGCGTGACCTTGGTTCAAATCCCCAGAACAGAACATTTTTGAACTTGGTGTTATTTGTGATGTGTTTAAAAGCTCAATACCGATTCGGCTCGATTCTATTGGAGATGAGCGAAATATTCGACGGTTATTAAAAAAAAAGGTGGAAGTGGGATGTAAACCGATTGGAAGAGCTTCCAGTCATACACAATATGTTTATTTTTGGGTTCGGCAATTTCTCGGGAAACGATTAAAAAGGCGTAGCAGTAAAGACACATAAAAATCTCCAAGTGCGCACCCTCTACATCATTCATTTTTTTTAATTTAAAAAAAAGGGGGGGGTTAATATATCAATCAATCACAATTCATATTTTAAAAGCAGTTTGTAAATGCTGTACCTGGTTATAACTAAATAGAGGGTCAAAATTTCAGATCCACAGGTAAGCTATTCGTACATTTGTTTCACACTGATTGTAAATTACTGATCATGCATTTTAAAAATGTAAACTTTTCATCCCAGAGAGGTATAATGTTTAACGTAATATACACCATCATTATTTTTATCGTTCTGCCTTTGTGTCATTATACGTTTTAATTAATGCAGAAAAGTACTAACGTGATATGACATTTGTTTGTTTTTTTAATGTATTTTGTAAAGTTTTAGAAAAAAAGCCTACGATGATCTCACCTTAATTTCTATTCCTTTTGAAACAAAAATAAATATATGAACATTTACAAGATGGTGTTCCGGGTGTTCATGCTGTTTTCTTTTCTCGTTTGCAGCAATCACAATAATTAAATTCCTTCGAGCCGAGCCTTACAATTTTATGTCACAAAATGAAAAAGTCTTGAGAGAGAGGTGTCTGTATGTATTGGGGAATTGTATTTGATTTGTCTGTATCGGGGAATTGTATTTGATTTAACACCTAGACGAAGTCAGCGGTAAAGAAAATAATCGACATCAAGGAAATACATAGTATTTATATAAGTCATAATATCGATTACAGCATGCGCATAACAGGCTGCAACGCTACATGTGCACCACGGATCGAAACTACAATTGGTCGTTTTTAAGAACAAGCGGGCTAGCCCAGATTTCGGGGGGTTTCCAGAAATCTTGACCTACACCAAGAGTGGGCATTGCCTACCTGTAGGAGAATTTCGGTTTCATTGGGGTGTTTATTTGTTTGATTATAGCGAATCTCCTTGTCTTTTAAAGAAACTGAACAAGGGGCACAAACTTTACCTTCATGTCAATTTTCTCAAAACAGTATTTTTGGGGATAGCCCCCCTGAGCTTAAAAGCGACCAATTTGGATTGATGATAAGGCCGCCCAAAGAAGTTTTGTTTTCCAGTCGTGTGTCAAGTGTCATCAGCTGAATGCAAGAACATCAATAAGGACTTTAATTTTAACTCTTTAAGGTGTAAGCATACATATAGATCTACACAATTGCATTCACTCGGTATGCAGACCACAGGCAACAGTCTGGCACATTTCGAACCTCTACACACAAATTAGAAACACAAGTTTGTATATTTTGAGTACGTTACTGTTTGTCTTTCTGGGCTTCAGATAAAGAAAACATTGTACGGATGTTTTCTGGGGTTTTTTTAACATTCCCAAACCAGCGTTTGGGCGTTTAGCGGGTACTCTGCTACGGTTTACTCCTTCTTTGCTATCAAACATCAGTCATGTTTTTCTCTCCTCCTTCACTTTCAAGTTTGTTACTCTTTTGCACCACCTGTAATCTTCGGCATTTATATTATCTTACTGCGTTGCAAGCGCTGTAAAATTCTTACTCCAGCTGAACTAAAAACAGCATGCCTCCAAGTGGTATCGAATGACAACAATGCACGTCTCAACGAGTTAGTTTTAGTGTTTTACGGTACTTGCAACACAATAAGGTCATATAAGTGCCGAATATTGGAGGTGTTACAAGAGAGTAACAAACACAAAAAAGGAGGGGAGACAAGGACGATAGATGTTTGATAGGAAAGAAGAAACAAGAAGCAAACCACACCAGAGCACCCGCCAACTACCCACTCAATGAGTTAACTTTACAGAATAGTCGACGACACTCACAGGACGACGAACCGAGGATGGAACAGCTGGTTCCACGGTTCTGTGTTTCACGGTCAAGGGGGGAAAGGGGGGGGGGGCATGACACCAGAAAATTAACAAGAAACGCCATAGCGGCTGTTTCCAGTTCAGGTGTAGTTTGTCCCAAGTTTAAACACATTTCGGTTTTTATTATAAAGTACAAACGTGGTTTGTAGTTTAGTTTAGAAAGAGTTTTATAAAGGACTCGCAACACTAATACTATTACGTAGAAGGTTAAATAGTGCAGAAGATGGAGTTATTACTGAAGAATAACATACTTACCAAAAAAAAAACAAGAACCCCTCCCCCCTGGGAGGAAGGTATGGAGGAAATATGTTTAAGCGGGGAAAAAAGGGGCAAAACACACCCGAGCACCTGCCAACCACCCACAAACGTGGCTGTACCCCCGATAGAACAGCTGTCTCTGAAAATGTGAAGCGAGAAAGAAGCGATGAAAACAATTCTTTTAAACTCGGCCACAGGCACCGCCGTCTCCTCTCGCACCGACTGAGCTACCGGGGCGGAATTGTAACGGACGGTTGTCCCAGTGGACGATGTTTTCGGCTGGCTTCACCCCCCCTCCCTTTCCCCTTTCTTCTTTTCTCATTCTTTCTTTAAGGGCTGGGGGTAGAGGTTGCAGTTGCAAAGAAAAAATGGCCGGTGGAAAGAGGAGGGGTCAGACACATCATAGAACAAAATTTAAAAATAAAAGGCTGGGGGTGAAGGGCACATGCCTCCCGCCCAGAAAAAAAAATACTGCCCACCCCCCCCAAAAAACCAACCAAACGACAAAAACAAAAACAACCCAACAACTAAACCACTGGCTTTTTGGTCAGTGGCATGGCATGACAGGGAAGGTGTTTTGACAAGTATTTGTTATTTTAGTTTTAGACAGATGAGTTTTGCTACTTTTTCAACTCAAATAACTCATAGATACAAGTGCCGAAGATATGAGGCGTTACACTAGAGAGTACCATACAAAGACAGGAAGGGGCAGAGATAAGGACGATATATGTTTAGCAGCAAAGAAGGAACAAACACACCAGCGCACCCGCCAACCACCCATTATTCGTGGTCTCTTCGTGGAGCAGTAGCCCGTAATTTCAACTCTACCACAAGCTGTAAGGGCCCAAGAGTTGTCACCAGTAACGACAAATAACCAACAAAGACAAAAGGAAAGTACCCTCGAGTCCCAACAAGAGCAATATCAAAAACAAGATTACTAGCATCAGCCCTTAAACACAAGAAAAACACCTTGCACAAACAGATATAACTAAATTTCTTTGACAGCAACAACAACAACAGCAACAAAACAACAACAAGAGCAAATAAAACAACAACAACAACAACAACAACAACAACAACAACAACAATAAAGAGTATGAATGCTGTGCAACTCATAATACTACACGACTTGTATACAAAAGGAAACAACTTTCCAGGGTCTAAAGCCTCCCCCCCACCCACCCCCCTCCCCCAATCTCAATCCAACAATAATGAAAGCGTT